ACCGTGCAGATCCAGAGGACAACCCCCCCTCCCCATGGTGCAAGCAGAGGCGGGAGCTGCACCTGCCCCCTTCCTCACCGCAAGGGGTGTTGATTCCCCCCCCCCGCCACACGCGCACACACCCCCCTTCCCACCCCCTGCCGCTTCCACCACAACAGACTTACCAGCTGGAGGAAGCTGTACTGGAAATCAGATCGGTATCGGCTGATATCCCTCAAATATCGGCTGTCGGTATCGGCCCCAAAAATGTCTTATCGGTGCACCCCTAATACTTGACAGTGTGTTGTTAGCTAAATGCTCTGAAAAGTGCACGCTGAGCCAGACAGAATCTCAGTTCAGACTTCCTTCCCCCCAGCTTCTGTATTTGGGGACTGCCAGACATTGGGTTGTGTTGGAGAGAGCAGCTTAGGCACTGCTGGAAAGCTGTTCCCCACTGGGTCAATGCTAGCAAGTGCTTGTCTCAGGCTGGGAGCCATGCCCAGGAGTGTCCTGGGAGAACCAGCATTGTGGAGTGTCCTTCTAGCCAGTCAGTGCCCTTGATCTTCCACTGGGAGGGGTTTGGGACTAGCGCAGGGGTTTGTGAACCCCTGGATACTTGGGACTCCTGTGAGAAACTGGCTCCACTTGACACTGCTTTTAGACTGTGGAGCTGGCCCAGGCCTAGGGAACTTGTGTAGCCCAAAGAAATATTTGTAACAGCATCCTCTATGGCAGTCTGAGTTAGGGAAGGGCCTCAGGTGTGGGGAAGTAGATATGTTGCAGAGTTTGTGCCTGGTCCTATTGCTTGTTTCCCCTCTGGCTGCTGCTAGTTTCTGAGTAGAATATCTGCCTACGTGGCGCTCTCCGCACCTGGAGGTCTACATTGCTTGCATTTCCTTGCTTTTTCTCTCCTGACCAGGTGACGTAGCCAGGGAAAGGATTCTAGACTCTGCTTCTGTACTCTTCACTCTTTTCTCACTCCTTTTCTCTGTGCCAGACTGGAGCTGGACAGTTTCATCCCTTGCATGTAAGTGTAATCAGTGCTGTTGCCTATAGATGTGTCCATCTCCTGCTGAGCTTTAAGAGAAATACAAAACTGTAACTCTGGGATTAAAAGGGCTGCATTTTGCAGCTTCTTTTAAACTATTCGCCTCACTGAGGTGCTGATCCATGTAGGATGCTAAGTTGCGGGGTTATCCAGCAGTTGAAGAAGGGACCTGTGAGTTGGCACTGCCACCAGCTGTCTGTGCAACACTCATCTGTTTCCGTTGGCCTTTGCATAAAATGATGCTTATCATTAGTGTCTGTAACGCTCTGAGATCTGTAAATGGAGGAGACGGAGCAGTACAAAGAACATTAGTTCTTGCTTGGACCTGCATTTGCTTTCCAGATAATTGGAAAACCAGAATAATATGTAGGCATTTCTGCTTTTTGCTGGCCGGTTGAACTCCCAACTGAGGGGGGTACTTGAGGAAGACATGGTGTTTCTGGCAGCAGAGGTATCCCTGTCTCCTGGAGGGCAGTGCATGCAAGAGGCTATCAAACCTAGCCTGGGAATCATTAACTGGCGCTGGTTTCCTGCCAGATCTTTCCAGGTATTAGGAAACTTCCTATCTAGGACTGTTCAAAGTCTGTTAGTCCAGCTTGGACTAGGCCTGGCCCCAAACATGGCTGCATGTTTTAACCATTGAATGAGTACTTGCCTCTTAGGTAAGAAGATGAGGCTGTTTGTTGCAAGCCCAAAGTAGGGAGCTTCCCATGGGGGTATGCAAGGCAGGTGCTGTACAGGCAGTGAGGAAATGGGTTGGCAGCTCTCCTCTTCCAGGCCCAGTGAGTCCCTGGTGTTGGCAATTAGCCACTTTCACTTGACTGTTTTCAGTTGGGATGGAATTGTGAACTCCCTTCACTTACCCCTTGGTGGCATGGGCCACATGATTGTGAACTATTTGGCCCTATACTAGTGACGCGCTGCCCCCTCGTGGTAGACTACAAGGAAGGACACATTGGAAGGACCATAATACTGCACATTTGACTCAGTAGTGTACAAGCTTCTCTCTCACAAGTGTGTTCATCCCCAGTGAAGCATGCAGGTGTATTTTGAAAGCTGATAACTTACATGCAAGCTAAACCGATCTAGTCACAGAAGCTAGAAGTCACCTAGAGAGGGAAGAGCTAAGTTCTAGAGGTGCACTGATACATCGATTCGTAGCGCATCAGCACTGATAAAAGGAAAATTGATGTTATTGGCAATCGGCTTTTTTTGGCTGACCTGGCTGATAATGTCGCCGGTAAACGCTGTGCATGCACGCAGCCAGGAGTGCAGCCTGGCAGCTTGCAGATTGGCATCCTGCTGGTAAGTCTGTGTAGGGGAAGGGGTGTGGGGGTAGGGGCAGATCGAGGCCTCTTGGTGAGGGAGGAAGTGGGGCTGGAGCAGCCATTGTCCAGCTGGGGCAGGGCACAGAATGGAGCCAGCAGCTTGTCCAGGGGGCGCAGGGAGTGTGGTGAACTTGACTCTGGCTTCCCCTTCCCAGTGTTACCGCCGCCCACCCTATCTCGCCCAAGTGCAGCCCTTGAGCGCACAGTGGCAGCCCGCCGTCATCCCGTGCAGATCCAGGGAGCACCCCCTCCCCATGCTTCCCCCAGGCTGCACGCAGTGGTACAAGCTGCCTGCCCCTTTGCACCCCCCCCGGATGAAGCCCCAGCTCTGTCCCGCACTCCACTCCCTCCCTCACCAAGGGGCCTTGATTTGCCCCTTCCCTTCCCTCACCAGACTTACCAGCCAGATGCTGCTGGATCAGTATCAGCTGATATGGCTGGTCAGTAATCAGCCATCTGTATCAGCCCAAAAAATCTTTATCAGTGCACCCCTACTAAATTCTAAGGCTTGTTGGATACAGATGCTGCTTGTGTTCATAGAGTGCCCATCGGAGGGCCTTTCCTTCTACCCACCTGTGCAAATGTGCCTTGGTTTATATGCGCACTTGTTCCTTGGAGTGCTTGCTTCTAGAGATGCACTGATATATTGGTCCGATATCAAATCGGCACTGATAGAAAGAAAATTGACTTTATTGGAAATTGGCCTGATGTGGCTGATAAATGCACACAGCACACAGGCAGCACGGAGCAGAGTCTGGCAGCTTGGAGAGCTGCGTGCAGCTGGTAAGTCCATTGTGGTGGGAGGGAAGGGGCGTGGTGGGGGGCAGATGAACGTCCCCTGCAGTGAAGGAGCAGTGGGGCTGGGGTAGGCGCTAGCCAGGTGGGGCAGCCATGGCTCATCTGGAGGGCACCAGGTGGAGGGTGGCGGCTCCTGCCACTGTGCACTGCTGGTCTGGGAATGGCTTATCCAGTGGCTCATCTGCTCGTCTGGCTCCTGCTGCTCTCCTGCCACTCGTCTGGGAGGGCACGGGGGGTGGTGTGTGCCCCTGGATCTGCGTGGGGCAGGGCAGGCTGCAGCTGTGGGTTGGGGGGCTGTACTGCACTGTGCTCGGAGCTGGTGCTGGGAGTGTGGCCCTCGGCCCCAGCCCACCCAACCCGGTCCGTGTGGCCCTGTCCCCTCTGTGCCTGCCTGGACAAGTGCCAAGAGAGCGGCAGGATCTGCCGGATGAGCAGACGAGCTGCTCCCAGACCACTGGCGTGCAGCAGCAGCTGGATGAGCTGTGGCTCTGTTCTGTGCCTACCTGGGCTGGGCAGCACCTGCCCCAGCCCTACTGCTCCTTCACTGTGCGGGGCATTGATCTGCCCTGCCCTGCCCTGCCACGGCTCTTCCCTCCCCTTTCACCACAACAGGCTTACCAGCTGCATGCAGCTGTATCAGAAATTGGATCAGCATCAGCCAACAGCCTCCTTAAAAATCGACTATCGGTATTGGCCCCCAAAGTCTCTATCGGTGCACCCCCACTGCGCAGGCTGTGAAGGAGGCGGCACCTCGTGCAAATGTTGAAGTAGTAAAAGTCCCCAGTTTCTTCTGAAAGTGAAAAAGAAATTCACAAACTGCTCCGACTTGAGCAAACTGGAGGAGGCAACTGTCCCTCCAGAACCGATAGTGATGTTGACTCTTACCACCTGCTGTTGCCAAGGTGTGTCAGAACAGGTTGTGAACTTGCCACTATTACTTCTGGAACAAAACTTTCTCTTGGAAGGGCAGGCATTAATCTGTGCTAGCACTTAACCACAGGAAGAAGGTCTGAACTATAATAGAACATCTCTTTCCTTGGAGTTCAGCACTTGACATGGCTGTGGGAGGGGGGGTTATTGCTAAAATGCGAAGCTGGGCTTGCCCGCAGTTGTAAAACAGATCCGAAAGTGTGAAAAAAAAAAAAAAAGACCTCAGATTTCCTTAGTAGTTTAGTTCCCTTTTTGATGTCAGTCTTGCTCCCTGCAGTTGCCTAGAAGGTCCAGCTCATGAAAGGTTTGACTTGAAATGGCTCAGAATATGCCGTCAGGGACAACTCTGTATTGGCTGATCAGCGAGACGAGACCCCCTAAGGGCTTTTTCCTGTGAATACATGTTTTCCCCTCTTCTTCCCCTTTGCACCCCAACGTTGGATTGAAACCTTTAGGTATCAAAAGATGATCGCAGTGATGTGGAGAGCAGCTCTGAAGAGGAAGACACAACTTCAAACAGCACAAAAGGAAACTTCTGCACTTCAAGCAATGGCGCCAATCGGATTAATGGCCACATACCTACTGGCCAGTGGGCAGAAGAGGAGTAAGGCCGGGGGGAGGCCATCAGCAAACACAGACTTTTCTTTCACTATCTAAATGTGTTGAGCTCCATGTTCCCAAGTGATCTTTTAATCAAAATCCCTTTCCCTGAAAACCTCCCTGAAATCCATATGGGCACAATGTAAACGAGTCTAAGCCTTCACAGTGCAGAAGGGATAGAGCTGACAACTAGTACAAAAGCAAACGCGAATTTCACTTTTTTAAAGAGAACAAGCCATTTTCTATTTAAGTCTCCTTGTCCCCTCTGTCATGTTGTTTGCAGAAGTATTTTTGTTTGTCACAAACAAGTTTTCATTAAGATCAACTCAAGCACGGGGAAGACTTTGGGTTGGGACTCGCTGACTGACGGCGGACGAGTTAAAGTACTGTTCCAAAGACGCTGCTTGCCCCAGCGCAGGTTCAGTGCATGTGGTTTGGTTTATGTTTTTTTTTTTTTTGATGCACTCCAGAATACGTTTAGACTGTGCTCTAAAACTGCTCGGATGCTCCACGATCTAACGCCCTGGGCTCTAGCACAGAAGCTCTTTCAGTCGGAGCTGAGTACCAGTCCTCTCACGACTGGTCTGTGCTACAGCGAAGCGTTGAATTCGATTGTGTTACAACCCGATGGACGAAGGCACGATCTAAGTTGCTAAAGCGGTTATTGCTTGTAACCTCTGCTGTCAAGAGGGACCAAGTTGGCATTTGCTGCCTATTTTGGTGCTCAGTTGTCCCTCTAAAGTCTTATTTACAATGTTTTGGAATAACTTTTTTTTTTCTTTGCCCCTGAGAAAGCTACGTTGTACATGCTTCCCAGCAAGTCTTGAGGGTCTGAATGCTTTTACAAGGGTTTCAGGATAAAACTGGCCAGATTTCTAAGGACACGAGTCACAGACAGACCAGTGCTGTTGGGCTCCATTACCTTTCCACGGGGGCAGAAGTCGCAAGCCTGCCTGTGCGTGTATTTTTTCCAGGAAAAAGCAAATTTGTTGCTGCCCTGGTTTCAGAGCCCTGCACAGAGGAACCGGTGGGCTGGAAAGGCAGCCACGCCACAGGCATTGCTTCTTTTTAATTCAATGGTACTTTGGGGCAATGGAAGAGACTCAAGCGTTGAAATCATGACGACGACTTTGGAAATTTCTTGAGTTGTTACCGTTTTTTACCATTGTTTACTCTTTATCTGATTAAAAAGAGCTTCAGAAAGTGCTCGGTGTGTGGGCTCCTATTTTATCTCCCTAAGACTTACAGAGCGTGAGAGCCAGCGCGTTTCACTGCTTGCAGAAACCAGATCAGCGTGTTGTAGTTAACCCAAATCCATGGTTTTTAATAAATCATAGCGGGGCGGGCAGCCCCTTCGCACCAGGAGCTCCTGTTTCCAGCCCAGGGACCTTTGCATCCCCCAGCAGAGGAACGAGGCAGGTGCCCCCCCCCGCAGCAGGAGTCAGTTTTGGGCAGGCTCCAGGCTGTCCCCAGCCTCCTGCCGGGCCTTGCGGTGCCGGAGCATGCGGTAGACGCGGACGCTGCACAGGGCGCTGGCGAACACGGTCAGCACCATCATGGAGCCGGAGAAGGCCTTGTAGCCCAGGTCGGCCAGCCG